CCCCATCCGAAATCCGTTGCATCATAGAACTCAAACGGGGGTGAATGGGCAGTGGTAATTATTCAATCAGTATAAGGCTGCTGTACTACATTGAAGATTCTTGAGACCCAAGTCTCTGCCCCCACCAAAAAGGTCTTATCCAAACTTTTTATCACTTCACTAATTGCATTCAAGGACACTAACAGTCCATCTTCTCCCAATAGGCGTTTTGTTTCAACAACAGCTCGATGTCTTGCGAGGCAATTCTCGAAGTTGGCAGTAACGGAGGGTCTAATCATGAATAATACTTTCTCTGTCTTGATCTCCTCAGCCCTGACTAAGCAAACCAATGTATAGGCGCATGTTAACAAATATGTCGACAAATGCAGTAGTTTTGAATGATCAGCTTGTTCCTTCTTCTTTGCCATTATGGTCCTCATCACTAACCGCCTTAACATTTCGATTTTCGTGCATGTGAATTCGAAGGTGCCTCGAATTCAGTCTCTTGGACCTCTAGCCTCCAAAAACATTAAGCTTCTATTGTTTGGACCACCCAATCTTACCCACTCATTTAAGTAGATTGCTTGGAGCCCAAAAAGGTCCGTTATGACCTTTTTGTTGTGACTTGGCATAGGTGGCAGTCCTCCTCCTTCTCCATGTTTGCAAAAGTGACCCCAAAATTTGAAAAACGAGATGGCAGATAAACCATCACAGGCGGCATGGTGTATGGCTGATCCAATCGAAAAGTTGTCTTTGGGAAAGACGGTTATTTGCAATGCCAACACAGTAGCTTTGTCATGAGATACTACCAATTAGGTCATAAGAGGATGGTATTCTTTGGCTTTAATGTCAAAGTCGTTACTCGAAATTAGACGGTGGAAATCAACATTGGACTCGGCGATTATGAACGAAACTGCGTCGCCTTTGATATAACTGAGAAAGGGTTTGGGGGAGTCTAGAAGCCAGATGAGGTTTCCCGTTAGAGGTACAAAGTGTTGGAGGGTGGCAGATAGCGAGGTTTTGAGTTTCGGAAGTACAGAATCGAAGAAGTGTGATGTGTCGAATGAAGGCATGTTGTAGAAGAAAAGATGTTGCGGGGGTGGGAACTTTAGCCAGCAGAGGTTAAAGAATGTTAGAGGAAGAGACAGATCCTCCGGGGGGCGGAGTTCGGCGGCTACTCTACGAACCTCAACAACTTTGATTGAGCCTGGTTTTGCCATCGGAGATGGAAAAGAAAGCTAGACCCCAAAAATCGGGAGTTGAACCGAAATTTTATACACAGTTAGGTGCAATTTCAAATCCACCACGCAGCTCCTGAAAAGAGATGAGGAGGAAGAGAGAGAGAGAGAGAGAGGCATGAAGAGAAAGTAACAGCCTATTGACTAACTTATTTCTCATACTAAATTACAAGTTATATTTATAGAGAACGCTTAAGAAACACTACCTCGAAACTAGGCTCAATTCCTAAACTAACAAGCAAAACCCAAATACTAAAATAAACATAAGTACTACTATTTTCCAATACTTGGAACCAAAAACCAAAACTAAAACACGAACAAAATTAGACCGCACTGAACAATTTGGTTTTACCATTTTGAAACAGTTTTAGTTTGAAACTGAACTGCATTTTGAAAAAAGGTTTAATTTCAGTTTTGAACATATGAAACCGCACCGAAATTGGACCTCACCGCAAAACTTAAAAGGGTTTTTTCTTTGGTTTTTATATTTGTGGAGCTTTTAATTTGGTCATTGGGGTTTTTTCTGGATTTGATCTGGTTGTTCCAGGCTTGCAGCTCCGACCCTCGAATTAGTATGGCTTGCTGTTTTCTTTTTTGAGTACTTATATGTAAGTGGTACCATATTGTAAGCAATTCAATGCAACTCATTAGTCAGAATCAACTAGCTACTAGGATTACAATACATTTAATTCATGCCGAGTATAATACCGCACATAACAGAAATTTATCACAAGAACACCTACTTGTATTCAACGCCATGGATGAGATGCAAGTCAGTCTTTTACTCCCACTACTCAATAGCTCCCTTACTGTATGAATAGGTCTCAGTAATACTTAGGGTTTTTTCACGTATGGGAGCAGGGACTATAACTTCATATATATACTGCTAGGGTTACACAACCAGCCTATTAACAGTTGTATATCCTTATCATCTTAATAATGAATGAGTCCTATCATGATTCAATATCTTTGCATTATCCTTATAAGGATTTCTTTAAGTTAGCTGCATGGAGTTAAGACTCCGTAGTCCTCACGAAGTAAACATTAACTATACCACTTGTATTACAAATAACTCGAGAATCAAGTTAACTATCATTCAAGTAATATCAACCAACACTCATTTGTCATTCACTAGAACTTTACACATGTCCATCGGCCTTAGGCAAGAAAACTCTTTAAAGTCATGTAATTAATGTTGCTTTTGCAGTTTTGGTTTAGAACTTTTCCAAATTATGAATCCCTTTGAGATTGCAGTGAAGCCGCTAAATCACGACATATCTGGTTTAAACTGGTGTACAGTTTGGAATATTATTTGGATTTCAGTGGCAATTTGAATCCCTTTGGATTGGATTGTATTAATGGCATAAAACATTTAGTTTGCAAATTTTGAAACCAAAACTAAATCATTTAAAACCTAATCAAAGCAAATCAAAATGGTTTCGGTTTTATGTAAAACCGCACCGAACCAATCCAAACCGTACCCACCCCAACAAGTGCGGCTTACTAACACGAGTCTCACATCCGTTGTACAAACATACAAATGATGATATAAAATATATAATAAGAGTATATTTTCATTTTTTGAAATATTATGCTAAAAGGGTAATGTTAAGGGAGACCAAATTTTAAAACCAAATTTTGTAAACCAGATGATGTGGTTGTTGATAATTAAATTATTATTAAATGTTAATTAACGTGTTTATTTCTTATTGATACTGTGCCACAACATTTGATTTAAAAATTTTACCTCCCTAGCACTATACTATGCTTAGATACTCTCTATTCTATTTCCTATCGTTACGAGTTCACTGCTAATGGCTCGGTGTCTAAATCAGGTCGGGCCTCTTAGTCCACCGCCAATGACAAAGACGACGTTCTCGGATTCCGATTCGGTGCCTCCTCATTCGCCGTCTTCTTCGTCTAGCAATGGTTTCAACAACGTCGCAAAGCCTTGTCCAACCATTTTTGTGATTGGGCCTCCGTCTACTCGGTAATGGGTGGCTGCTTCGTTCTCTTGGGTAATTGACTTATTAATCATTTTTTTAGTTAGGATTAGAGCTTTGGATTGATAGGAAATGGTATTTCTTAACTGCTTTTTGTTAATTTTTGAAGCTCTGGTTGTATTTGGAGAGACCAATTTGCTTTATTTTATCTTTAGTTAAAAAAAAAAAACGACTCCAGGCCAATAAGGTCCCGGCTCGGTGGAACAGCTTACTGTTCTTTGTTTCTAGGACTCGAACCGTAACCTTTCGATCACAAATAATCAACATTTCTATTGCGCTAAGGCTTATCCTATTTTTCTTTCGGTTAAGTTATGCTAGAATTTCTGTTAAATTGTGATGATTGCTGAAATATTAATTTGCTTGCCCAAATATTACCTCAAATTTTCAGAACATTTTCGAACCCCGATATATTTAGAGCTAACTTGTTAGTAGTGAATACCATGCCATATCCAATTTTTCAGTCAGGGTGTGTGGAAAATTTTGTAACGGTGCTTCTTCTAGTATATTTGGTTGCAGGGGTGAGAACTTCTGGTCTTTAGCAAAATTGGACTGCAACGAAAGCGGGAGGAAATAAACAAACCGAAAGCTCTTTTACTTTGTTCCTTGTACATTGCCAAATCTTTCCTTTAGTGTATAGCATATTAGTAGACATGGGTCATTCTCAGCGGCCAAAAAGAAGAGTGGCATATTTGTGTTGATTGATGGTGTGGGAGACGTGTCAATACCAAGGTTTGGATTTAAGACTCCTTTTCAGGCAGCCAAAGTACCCAATTTGGACGCCATTGCATCCGCTGGAGTTAACGGCCTGATGGACACTGTCGAAGTTGGTTAGGGTTGTGGAAGCGATACAGCTCACCTTTCTCTATTGGGTTATGACCCTAGGGTTTATTATCGTGGCCGAGGCGCGCGTTTGAGTCCATGGGTGCTGGTTTGGCAATGTCGCCTGATGATATTGCATTTAAGGTGAGGATTTTATTTGTTTCTTTGTGAAATGGTATCGATGTTATAATCGTTTTCACATCATGATCCTGGATGAGCAGTTTCAAAACTTTCAACATTTTCCTTCGGTTCTGTCATTTCTGGAAGACCAGGCTGTTCCCCATAATACTCATTGCTATTTTGTTGTTCTTTACTCTAATTTTGCAACCTTTGATGAAAAAACTGGAATAGTCATCAGTAGGAGGGCAGACAGACTTTGAGGAAGAACGGCCCATACTGTGTGCAGCACTTGATGGAATGAAGCTGCCATCTTTTCCCAAATATGAAGTCAGAGTCAGTTGCAAAAGTTCATTATAAATGCCGTTTGCTTCTTGTTTATGCGCTTCTATAAATGCACCTCCGTTATGCGAAAGTGGATTATGTGTCTAAATCATCGAAGACCTTAACGCTTTCTAATGCTTATCCTTGAAATTTTTATTATGCAGTAGATTCAGACTGACAAAGAATCGTTTGTTACAGGTATGCAACGGAACATAGACGCGGAGTGGTTGTAAAAGGACCGAGGCTAAGTGGGAATATATCAGGAACAAACCCATTGAAGGACAACCGTTTACTTTTGCAAGCTGAAGGTCTAGACGGCACTGACGAGGCAAGGCACACAGCTAAAGTTGTTAACGAGTTATCCAAGGAAACATCACGTATTCTCGTTGCTCAGCCACTGAATGCAAAACGGGCAGCTAAAGGGAAGAACATAGCTAATCTTGTCCTTAATTTTACGAGGTTGCGGTATTCGGATTGAGGTTTGTTGTCTCAAACCTTACTTGATTTATCCAAGGAAATATAACCTTGAGCCTAAGAGAGATGTTGGTCTTACAAGACCTCAACCCTTATAATCTTGTGGAAAATATGCATTTGGTCCTCACATGTCCTCATATGAAGACCTTAGGAGAGCATGACTCGACTAGTTGTACCCACCGTTTCATTTTAGGGTCAATATCAGCAATCCATCGATAAACCTAGAAACGAAATTGTGAAAATCATGACCCTTACAATAAGTTGGTCCCAAAGTTTTTCCTTTTTGACTCCTTTCATCTCTGCAAGTATCGAAAGCACCAAAATTTAAAGTGAGTTGTATGAAAAATATGTCACAAAAGAAAGTGGATTATAAAGTTTCTTTCTTTTACTTTAATTTTCTTTACTTAATATTATCAAATAATCTCTTACACACCTTCCACTTCTTTTCTTAGTTCATAAGAAAAAAAGTCGATTAAATTTGAAAACCTACGCTCGTAATTCACACCCATACACAAAGATGTATGTGACAAGACCTCTTTCCATGTACAGGAAATCGCCAAGCACCCTTTCCCTTCATCCACCCGATGCTCCACATTCAGGTTTCTTGGTGATTACAGATGAAGATGCAGAAGCGCACGACGCGTCTTGCTGGGGCCTATGCAAGCGCAGAAAGGTATCGAAACTGCCGTTCCCACAGGACAAGATACTGACCATAGTTTACACGTCGGAGTTCCAAGAGGCGACGAAGACCAAGGTCTGGTTCATCCCGGTTCTTGATCAGCCTCTATCGTCTCGTTGCTACTATGTCATCAAAGCAAGTGGCAGGCACAAAGGGTATGCTTAGGTTTCACAATTATAATTGGTTTTCCTTTTTATTTGAGTGATATACTGCGTGGGGATTCGAACTTCGGATCAGAGAGAGAGCACGCTGCTCTAGCGTAGAAAATATTTGTTTGTTAAGTGGAAGATAAATTATTTTGTATGATCTTGCAGGAAAGCTTACAGATGTGCTAGAGAGAGGGACATCGTGAAGTGCTGCTTTAACGACTTCTTGGGAGACAAGAAACCAAGGGTTTTAAATTTTAGAGACATATACCAACAAGTTAAGATTCATCGCTTCGAAGGTGGTGGGTTTTTCGCAAGGGCTGTAGCTCCCGACGGCGTTCCCCCAAAATTCCTCAATAAAAAAGGATGGAAAGTTCGCAGCTCGAGTATGTATCGTTCACAACTAGGTGAAGCTTTAGGCCTTGACGCCTCGCTCCGTTCACGTCTTCCGGACTTCAATTTTACCGTCTTTCAAAAGCGCTCGCGTACTAGCACTGTGGGGAGCTGGTACTGTCCATTTGTGTTTGTAAGAGAGAGAGCAACCATAAGACAGCAGATGAAGAAGTCGAAGTACTACAGGGTGACTTTTGAGCAATGGTGGGAAGAGATATACTCTTGTGGGAACGTTAACCGTGAAGGGAACGTTGTGAACGTGAGCGTAGATGTGCAAAGGGAAGTGGCTATGGTATCTGCCATGCAAGCCGTGAAGGATGATAGGAACGGACGAACAGGGTTCACCTGGTACAAAGCCCATAACCCATACAGCAAGAAAGTGGTGAGTGTAGGTTTGAGCTCGGCAATTGTTCAGAATATGAGATGGGTTTTGGAGGCAGGAGGGTGGGTAAGTGGGGGTGATGAAATGGATGTGAGAGTAGAGAAGGCAGAAGAGATTACAAGTGCAACTCGGTGGAGGAAGTTTGGGTGTTACGTGTTGGTGGAGAGCTTCTCTTTGAAGAGAATGGATGGAAGCTTTGTATGGAGATCCGATTTTAGGCACACCGATAAGATTCGATGTAAATGGGAATAAGGTTTCCATTAAGATTCTCCGTCAATGAACAAAAAAACGATGGATCCTCATATGTTTTCTCTTTACTGTTCCTCTGTAGCAACGGTGTATCCTCGCATGTATTCGCTTTACGGTTCATATGAAGGATGTAAATTTCCAATGCTATGAAGTACGAAGTTATGAAATTTTCAAAATCAAGAATATAATTTGTCATACATTCCATAACCACGACGAATTACACAAGTTTTAGAAAATTATATAACAAACTGAAAACACAGTGCGCATATCAAACTCAGACGAAATAACATTCAAGTAGGTAGATGGAACTGTGGAGAGACTTGGACGCAGCAGCTTAGAAACCATGAATCTTGATATGCTCCTGCACAATGCCAGCCTGTAGTACTTGAAGCGACCAACCAAGCAGATCGATAATCTTATCATTCTGACCTATATAACGTTTGACATCAATGTTATGTTGAGGAGTGACTACCTGAACTAGGAAGGTAGATACATTCTTTCGTTTATCACGGTTGTCAGGCTTTTTCTACCGTTTCTTTGCTGTATACGAATGTGTACATACTCTTCTGTCCCAGCACCTGAATCCTCAGAATTTGCCTCAGCAAAAGGATCTAAAATAGGTATAGTGCATAAATCAGACACCTGATGAACTCACCAAACCAAACATTTAGTTTCTCAAAATACCAACTTAGGTCAGTTTGGTTCGGTTTCTTTGGCGGATCATGCTAGTCGGGCTGCTGAAAAGCCCTTGTTGACTAAGGCATTGATTTGGATAAAAACCAATGCATCCACGCCAGCGTTTCAATCACCATTTCACGGTGCAAAAACCAGAGAACTGAACCGGTGTCCGACATGTTCACAAAAATGATAACAAAACCAAACCATTTAGTGTCACAAAACAACTTCGTGTCAGTTTGGCTTGGTTTTTTAAGGTGGATGGGATACGTTGGGATACTTATACAACGAAAACGTAAACATACAGAAAGGCAAAAGGGCGTAGGCAGTAGGAATTTGTACGTCGAGCTCAAACATGAACCTTGGCTATTCACTAGGAAGGCCTTGCAACCAGAATTCTTATACCTGGATCACACAGAAGGCAAATATCAAATTATCATCCCTCACAAAAATACCTCAAACTTTTCTTAGTATATGTATCCGGATCTGATTAAACTAGACGGAAACTAAAACTTCAAAAGTCTTCCAGTATTGTTTTCAATAAAGTAGCAGACTTGATCAACCTTGAAAAGTATATTTTAAATTACTCTAACTTATGAAAACGGAAATTCCATGTTTAAGTGCAAAGGGCGAGATAGCACGCAATTTGGTATTGTTTTTTCACCAAAAGCTGCTTAAACAGTAAAAAAAAAATGTGATGAAAATTAAATATCCTGCTTATTTTAAAGCAATAGCCTTCAGAAGCAGTTTTTAAAAGCAGCTTGTAGGTTGCTTTTTAAGCCTACTTTAATAAAAAACGGAGTTGAGCAGAGTTGAGTCATTAATGAATATTTTTAATTCCTATAATACGCTCATTATTATTATTATTATTATAAACGATATTATCTACCTAAGGGAAGCGGGGTTGTTTTAGCCTCACAATAAGGTAACAATAATATGGTCCAAATTTGGTTTTGACGAGAATCAAACCTAAGACCTCTCACCTACAAGTGAAGAGGAATATAACTAGACCCTCATACTAAGTAATCATTATGGGCACATTTAATCCTTGGAGAATAAAATGACCACCACCACCTATCATTACAAACCCTAACTACCTCTTACACCACAACCACAGCCACCATCACCATTGTCGCCTCCCCTACCACCATTGTCATCTCTTCAGCCCAACCACCACACCTCTCTATTGGCACAACCACCGTTGTCGTCATCATCACCTACACTATCATGTTCACATCATTATACACAATTATATCACTTTTATATTAAATGTACCAAAAGCTTTCACCCCTTTTCATACTTACAACACTTTCAAAAATACAATTTATCAAACGCTCAACTACTTCATTTTGCAGCTGATTATTCTTAAAGCACATCATAAACAGTTTTTAGTAAAAACACAGCAATCCCAAACTGGCTCTTAGTCAATGACCTACTCCACATTTGGCCGAGAACTAAAGTTTTATATAGGGTGATGATATTTGCACACCTTTTTTTACCTCTCACTCATCTTTATTAATTTTTGTACATTGCCCTTCTTCTATTCATTCGATCTAACTGCCAAAAAGAAGTAAAAATGGATATGTGAATGACACCACGCTTTGTATATATTTGGAATCATTTGAAGCCCATTGGGCTATGGTCTTACAATTTTGAGATGAATAATTGGGCCCTTCAAATTAGGGCAGGCTTTTTATTTTGTTTTATTCTAATTTTTTGTTGGTCAAGTGTCCGGAAAAAAAATTGCAAAGGAGTTCATCTTCTCCTTTTCTTTCATTTCTTTCTGTCATTGCTTTCGTAAAACCAAACATCCCTCTCTACTCTCTCACTAGGGCAGAGCACCAGAGCACGAAAGGCACTTTAAATTTCGCCACAGAAGACCAGCTTTTCTGTCAACCATTGATCAAGTAAGTATCACTTTCCCACTGGTTTGCATTTTCTTTCCCCAGATTTTCTCGGAAACCAAACACTTTTAGGTCTGATTCACAAACTTAACTTTGGGCGTGACATTGAACTGATTCGAAATCAAAATCGAAAACGGAAAGAAACCCAATTTGCAACCCAAATTTATAATTTCAAAGCAATCTGTTTGTGATTCTCATTGTGTGGTTTTGATTGTGCAGAAAAAGTTTGTATATTGTTAGGGAAGTTAGGGTGAATTGGGGAAAAAAATGGGAAGCAAAGGTCGAATCCCGCCTTCTCACATGCGTCGGCCGCTTCCTGGACCCGACCCGTTTGGCCCGGGCATACGGCCGCCCCATGGCGCCTATCCTCCGTTTGATATGTTGCCTCCTCCACAAGTTATGGAGCAGAAGCTGGCTGCACAACATGTGGAGATGCAGAGGCTTGTGGTGGAGAATCAGAGGCTCGCTGCCACCCACGGAAGCCTGAGGCAAGAGCTGGCCGGTGCCCAACATGAGTTGCAGATATTACATGCCCAGATAGGAGCTATCAAGTCTGAGAGAGAACAGCAGATGAGGAGCCTTGTGGATAGTATAGCCAAGATGGAAGCTGACCTAAAGTCAGCCGAACCTGTTAAGGCGGAGCTACAGAAGGCTAGAGCCGAGGCCCAGAGCTTGGTTGTTTCAAGGCAAGAACTGATTGCCAAAGTGCAACAACTCGGACAGGATCTTCAGAGGGCTCATGCGGATGTGCAGCAGATTCCAGCTTTAGTTGCACAGCTTGATGGACTGAGGCAGGAATATCAGCTCTGCAGGTTCGTGCTTATGTTCTATTTTTTCATAACTTCAAACTATATTGCTTATTGTGTATTTTTAGTTATGAAAAACTGACCGTCATTTTCTGTTGGTTTGGATTGTGCAGGGATACATATGACTATGAAAAGAGATTATACAGCAACCACCTTGAATCACTTCAGTGCATGGAGAAGAACTATGTTACCATGGCTAGGGAGGTGGAAAAGCTCCGAGCAGAGTTGCTGAATAATTCTAATGTTGATCGGAGAACTGGTAAATCTACTTCCTTTTGTATTCAAGGTCATTTGGATACCCTTGTTTATTGTTTACCTTGATCTTTAAATACGTTGTGGATGGCTTATCTTTGGCAATGAAATGTAGGTGCCACATATTATGGAACCCCGGGAAATAATGAGAACGAGGCTACTGGGCAGCCTTTAGGACAAAATGGTTTTGAAGATAGCTATGGTGTTCAACAGGTATGCCATCTTCCACATCTTGACTTTTGTTAGGCTTTCATCTTATTTCTTTTCCTTTTCTCCTTCAAATTCTAGATTATGGTACCATGCCGGGTTGTCAAAGTCCTGGTTGTTTCAGCTGGGATTGGCTGATTGCAATAGTATATTGTGCTTTGGCGACATCATTGGCTTATTTGTCCACACAATTTAACTCAAGACTATTTTCTTGAATACTTATAAAAATAGTTTATCATTGTCAATAACCCTGAAGCCCTTCTAAAAATACTTCAAGGTTGGTTTTTCATTTTCTGAATCATTGGTGGATGCTAGAATTGTTACAGGGGTCATTGAAAATCTTTTATTTGTGCTTGCATTTTCCACTAAAGGTGTTCCTGGCCAGAGAGTAAATTAATGTTAAATGTATCTGTAGACTATAGGAAAAGAATATGTTGGTCGGTGACAATCATACTGTGTTTTACCACTCCCTTACTATTGGAACACTAAGACAACTTCAAATTAGTCGCAAAAACCAAATATAAAAATTCAGTTCTGTACATCCATTGCCTTAGCTATCTCAAAGCCAAACTGATAAGTTTTGGTTTGGAATCTTCAGTTGCACGTAACATGAGTAAAATTAGTAGATCATAAAAATGATCAAGAAGGTATGGCCTATAAGATGTTGTTGAGTATTGCTGCTGAGAAACTCTTGGAAGTTGTGCTGTCCTGCTAAAAATGTTTTGTTTTCAGTTGAAAAATAATTTCCTCACTGCCTCTAGAGCGATGATAGATAATGAAAACTTATGCACTGTTACACTGTATTCTGTATAGCAGGGACGTGTCACCTTCCCTCCTGCTATGGCTGCGGCTGTTGCTGGCGCTGGTGGTGTTGCTGGCGCTGGTGGTGCTGCCACCGCCAAGACCCCTCCATTAGTTGGAGCTCAATCTGGACCTCCTGGAAGGACTGTTTATGACGCACCAAGAGGGCCTGGTTATGATCCTTCGGGTGGACCTGCTCATGATGCACAGAGAGGACCTGCTTATGATCCACAAAGAGGACCTGCTTATGATCCACAGAGGGGACCTGCTTATGACGCACAGAGACCTGGATATGATATACAGAGATCAGGTTACGAAGTGCAAAGAGTGCCTGGTTATGATCCAACCCGGGGTGTCAACTATGATGCACAGTCTAGAGCTGCTGCTGGCGGTCCTCAAGGACATGTGCCCACAGGCAATGTGCCTTATGGTTCTGCAACACCACCTACTCGCGGGGGAACTGGGTATGAGGCACCACCACCTCGAGGGCCGGGAGGGGGAAACCCTGTTCGAAGATGAGCTCAAGTCATCGAACCAAAAGATTCTCGCAGAAATAGTGTAGTAGTTAGGATGTCCAAAATTTATCAAAATTTCCAATCATCTGCTACCTTGAATAATGTGTTTTTTTTTTTTTGGGCCATTCTGGTCTTCCGCTACTTTTTTCGATTGTATATGGTTGGGAAAAATATTCTGTTATTACTTGTGATACAGGCAACCGGACACGGTTTGTAATTGATGTTCAAATGAGAAAGAAATTGTTCGCAGTCCAGTCCTTCCAGTTTCCCCAATTAAATTGGACCGAGAACGAGGAGAATCTCGTGAGTCATCCTAGCCAAGCCAATCTTGTGACAACAAACGAGCCCTAGACTAGACGTTTTATATTACGAGAAATTTTTAGTTGTGATGAAAACACAAGTGGTACATCACGTGTTTTAATAAGAGTGGTGGGAAATTTTATTTTTTAAGTTACGAACTTTTTAGCACATATATCCGACCATTTGTATAGTAACATATGATGTATCATCCCGTGTACCGATCACACTAAAAAATCTCTCCTATATTACCATATAGATGGATAACTAAACAGAAAATCTAAAAGCAATTTATTTATGGTTTTTTATCCAACATGGTCGGTTCTTACTTTTATCCTGAAAAAAAAAATCGGTGGAAGTGATTCATGAGTTTGTCTAATTATTTTGGTTCTTCTCT